TTTTATACATTACGCTAGCTATTTTAGTTTTATATACTTTAATATGAACTAAAATGAGATTATTATATTATATTATTATTATTTAATATGAACTAGCCTTATACATTCTACAATTTTCTTTGATTACATGTGTTTGCCAAGGATTAGTTACAAAATTATTTGCTATAATAATTATCTACTTTTATCATTTATACGAACATGTATGCGTCAGTAGTAAACATATAACCAATAGTGCCACGTGACCAGAAAAGAGTAAAACTTTCTGAGACATACTCCGATGAATATATGACATGTTTAGAGCAAGTTTAAAAATTCTAATTCGATAATGTGGATGTTTTAGAGTATGTATGTAGGTAGGTAGGACTTGAAAGCGACTGTCAAACTTCACGAACTTGGTCGTTTTGTGTTTAGGCATTTGTATGAGATGTATGTAGCAGAAACAACATTGATCAGTATACAAACCCAATCTTGCATTGCAGACGTGGAAACGTGTCCATGGTGTCAGTGAAGCGAGCGCGGAGCACGCGGCCGGCGGGCGGCGGGCGGCGGCGCTAGGCGCGCTCGCCACAGATAGCAAGCAATATTGGAAAGCGATCGAGGACCGGTCCGACACATGTGACGTAACTCAGAAGTTACATCGATTCGATCACGAGATTCCTTCAATTTGTCGAAATTTGAACGTACGGCCACCGTTCTCGTGGCACGTCTCTCGCAGAGGAGCGGCCGTCTCTCCGCGGCCTCCTCGCCCGGGCTCCGGCCCGTTACCTGAACCGCCGGCTCTCCTCGGCTCCGGTAAATATAAACCGACGTCGCTCGACCGGTTCCGCAAGCCGGTCCGAATTCCTCGACGAACGTGGAGCGCGGAGGACATCTTTACCTGACAGTATTAGAAAATAACGATACGACTCTAATGCTGCCCGGTAAGATGCGAACCGCCACTCCGGTCACGATGAAGGAGTCAATATCCGGGCGATGCGAGCGGTGGTGGCGGCGCGTGGCGCGCTCACGGCGAGCGGCGAGCGGCTCACGGCGGCGATGCAGGCGCGGGACACGGGCACGTGCACGGTGGCACGACGCGCGGAGGAGACTGGGCCGCGGGCCGGGCTGGCGGCGGCGGCGGCCGCGGCTGGGAGCGGCGGAGGCGGCGCCGCCTGCCGCACGCCCCATGCCCGCCCCGCGCCGCCACCACGCGTCCGCTCGCCACCACACCACCACACCACCACGCCACCACGCCACCACACCACCACGCGCCACTGACGGCCCACCGCTCCACTACAGACACCTTACCAAAGCTGACCGCAACGCACGCAGCCTCATAACTTTCATACCACCAGGGGTAGAGACGGTGGTAGCGGTTTAGTACATACTGGTCGCGGATTTGATTCCTCACATCGTAGAAATATTTGTATTCATGAATATGACTGTTTATATCGACCGTGTACATATGTTTAAAAAAACCGTATCTATATATTTGTGGCGGTTCATTATGCCAAAGAAGGGATTAAAGTTGTTTGTCTAAATAGGGAAAGAAATATTATTTATGCACCTGCAAAATCTATATATATATAAATAAAATTGGAGTGTCTGTTTGTAATTGTAATATCGAAATAACCGTTTTTTACTACATGCATATGAATATAAATAGGGTACATATCCCAAAATAACATTTTTTACAACTTTTGTCTGTCTATCTGTTTGTTCCGGCTAATCTCTGAAATGGCTGGGCCAATTTTGACAGGACTTTTTTTGGCAGGTAGCTGATGTAATAAGGAGTAACTTAGGCTACTTTTATTTTAGAAAAATTCCACGCAGTCGAAGTCGAGGGAACAGCTAGTATAAAATATAATAAAGACATTTATTCAGCATTACCTACATCGTGTTATATTTATTTATTCATTTGAATTTATAATATTACAATAAGGGTTGACATAACATTATTATAATAACATTGTGGACCTAGATGGGTGCAACAAATTACGATGAAAGACCTAAGTGACCTTAAGGGACATTAATAATATATGAGAAGAGTTCACAATATTTCGCTTCAAACCTTTTTTAAATCCATTTTTAATCGACTTACAGTGATAGTAATCATAGTAATATACATACTCGTATGTACATACTAGCTGTACGCGCGGATTGGACCGCGTGGAATTTAACAAAAAGTTAATTCGAGAATTATTCTAAAATAAAAGTAGCCAAACTCACTCATTACGTCAGTTCCTTGCCGTAATAAGGAGTTAAAAAAAGTTCCGCCAAAATGAGTCCAGCCATTACAGATTGTAAAAATAATTATTTTGGTTTGGTGTCTGAACCGTATTTATATTCATATGCATGTAGTAAAAAACTTTTATTTCAATGTTAAAAAAAGACACTCCAATTTTATTTATATGTATAGATAAAGTGTATTTAAGTGTTCAAATTATATTTTTATTAGTTACTAGATGACACCGCAAACTTTATTTTTATATAAATTAAAATCACTATTAAAAAATAGGGGTTGGTGATAGAAGGGTGAAAATTGAAGGTTCTATGTATTTTTAATTTTCTTTTAATCCGACGATCTGATCAAGGTCTCTGGAAGGCATTGGATGCGAGCAGCGCAGGACTGATCGTCGTGGAGATCTTTGGGGGAAGCCTGTGTCCAACAGTGGACGTCTTCCAAACTGCGATGATGATGATGTATTTTTAATATCACATAATAAAAATATAGAAACAAAAAATTATCGAAAAAAAATTTTTTTTTTGGTAGTTAGGTATATGCAATCAGTACTGGTACTATAAGCAGGTGAGTTGTTGGTAGTAGGCGTGGGAGGATCTCTATCCTTTGACAAGGTTCCCATGTTTCAACTAGCTAGAAATCTTTCATCCAGCTCAAGGATATTTGATCTTTTCAATCTTTTTGCTGGGTTGTTAGCTAGAAGTTTCTGAGCTAATTCGTTTGGGTGAATAGCAAGGCGGGCCTTATATTTGATACTTGATTTCCCAATTTTTTCCCTGACTGTGGCGATGTTGGCAAAGTGGTGAACCTCAGAGTTAGTGATGAACCATGGAGCTTTTAAGATGGAGGAAACTACAGTCGACCTCTACGCGGTTCCCCCTGGACCACCAACCACCAAAAACCATCGTGATAAATTCCCGTTGAATTTGTCACGTTGGACTAACTGACCTGACCTCATTTTCATCTTATCATCCTCCACTGGTGCCCCGCCAGCGTAAACCGTTAGCGCAGGATGGTGCACAATTCCATTAACATCCTCTAAAAAAATATTACAAAAGCAATTTCCACAGACAAAATTAGTAATTTACTCACAGGAGAGTTCCAAGTTTTTCATATTCAGTGCAGAATGAAAATGGACTCCTTTAAAAAAATACAACTCGAAATAAAAAAATATAGCTCTTAAAATATATCAAAATAGAGTAAATTAAAAAAACAATTATACTACGTGACTCGCAATACACTAAAGAACGGTTAAAATTAAGAATTACTCTTTTTAAAGTCATTTTAAAGTATTCTGTAACTGTACTGTGGTAGATTTAAAATATTAATTGTAATAAATTTACGCGGTGATTTTGTAAATCATCGTAAACGTTTTAAACACTAAACTTTAAATATTAATTAAATAAATTAAAAGAAACATCACTACTACAAATTAAAATATTTTGACAATCATCGCTAGATGACTCAAAATTTTGCGCAATGTTGATTACTATCCCACCGTATTTTTTCCAGAACCTTCTAAACTTCAAATTTTATAGAAATTATAGAATTGTAAACTGCTTTAATGTCTTTATACAACTCTTTCAATTTTGAATAACGCAATATTGTTTTATTTATTTATGTTGTACTTCAAAGGGTTTACGATCCTTAATTTGGGCTTACCATTTCAAACATCCGGTTTATTCTAGGCCGGCCACCTTAATTCCTAAAAAATGCCCTCATCCCCTCAGATTTTATTTCACATCCCTTATCCCTCCATACATTTTTCCACAAAACTTCTCCATTGAGACCATTAAAAAGTTATAACATAGACGCTTTATTACTCATTCCTAATATCCCAAAATAATGTAATGAACCAATTAAGCCAATTAATAGCATATAAAGAGTAAAAAGGTTCACAGACCATACGAAATAAAAAAAATAGAACTTTTTTTGTAATATAGAAAACTAAGTAGGTACCATAGAGTTAAAGATGGGTAGTATTATGTAATATTATATTATCTGTGGTAGTATATAAACGTGAAATAGTAACCTCAATACGGATAATATTGTACCAAGTATGAACGACCACGAACAACGACCAAGCGGTTCTCCCTCGAAACCATCGTGATTATTTCCCGATAATTTCGTTATCATTTTCTATTGATGCCTCGTCGGCTTAGTGTTACCGTCATACCGTTAGTGCAGGTGCAGGTACACCATTCCATTTTCATTCCCATTATACCTTGGGCAAATCCGTTACGATATTTTTGGGCAATGTTTTAGCGTCTCAGGGAGAGACAAAAGGGCTCAGCCCATACAGCCCTTGTCTTTGGTAGTATTCTCATATGTATATTTTCTTCATATTATTGTTTTTACAATTCATATCTCTTCAAACATTGACATTAAGTACTCAAATATACATTTGTAAGTTTCTAGGTTCTTCAATAAATTCTGGATGGATCGCGGGACCCATTGACAATATGTCAAAATAGCTTAAAATATACTATCACTGTCAAATTAGACGTAGCGTACAGTTTCCTTCGCCTTTCGTCTTAAGTATAAACATTAAAAATATGACATTGACGTTTCATGAAATTGACGTTGACTTAGAGAAAAAAAAAGAAATTGACGTTGACTGCCTGACTGAAGTGACTGATGGATGACTGAGTAAGTCTGAAGCGTCTGTATGATTGGTTTGTGTGTCGACCTGTCGATGTTTGTCTAGTGAAAATTTGTAAAAGTATTATGTATTATAATATTAGTAAAAAATAATAATTAAGGCACCTTACAATTAGTAATATATAAGTAAAATAAATGTGAGATGGCTCAACGATTCCCAGCCGGTGGCCCAAACGCTGCACCTCCTCCTGGTGCTATGCAGCAACAACAACGCTACGCCGGCCCAGCACAGCCCCAAGGATCTCCCATGCAACAGAGACCTTACCCAGGACCTAATTTCCCGGTAAGTGTAAATCAAGACATGTAGCGACTGTCTCGTTTCATTGTAATAAGTTTGTTATTTTATGGACTCGTGTACGTAAATATCGACAACACACAACCTTTTAAATTAGTAAAAGTACCAATTATTAGTTTTAAACTATATGCACTCCAGGCCAAGCTTTGTACATCAGGAATATCCACTAATTTAAACATTTTCTTTTGTGTGTCATGTATGTACTTGCAAAAACATGTTTTTACTGTATATACATGTTTGGACCTCATAGCACTAATGCAACTTATTGTAAATTTAGTAATGACATATTGTAATTTAAATAATATAAATTAAATATTGTATTGGGTGAAAATTGGTACAGTTTATGTTGTAAATAATATAAATGACATAGTGGAGTAACTTGAAACAGTCATGCTCGCTATACAGTTCAAATTTGTGGCGGCGTGGTGGGCCGATGTGCTCCCTCTAATATGGTTAAGTGCAATGATGGCTGGCTCATCCGTCATACTCATGAATGGGTGCTGCTTGTTCAGGTTTTGAACACTGATTAGATTTTTTGTTTTTTGCAATAGCTTTTGCATATGCTGATGGTCACTCTATTCTCCCAAATTTGAATTTAAATGAATCTGTATTATTGTAAACATGTATAACATTCCTTAAAAAAATATGAGCTGAGTTTCTTGTTAGTTTTTCTCATCTCAAAATCATTCCGAACTGATGGTAGATTTGACATATCATAAGAGTCTGTAATAGACTGATAATACATGAATAAAGATATTTTGGATTTCATAGTGCAAGTTGTCAAGTTTAGTTTAGGGCTCAATAATACTGTATGTATTCACAGTATTAATATATGTTTGTAGATAGCTACCACAGGTTATGTAGGTACAGGTCTGTTATCAAATAAAATAAATGAAAAGGTTACTTTATTTAAATAGACCTATATTATAGATTGTTTTGTCTGAAAATAATTTATTATGATATTTAAGCACTTTTCTTTTCAAAGTTCACTTTTACACATTTGTTGTACTTTTTTTTTAATCTGACACTTCTAAAGCAGTTACGTCAATTTTTTTACATCATAATTAAAATTTTTCCTTAATGTCTGTTTAATTAAAACATAGTGTCTTTGGCTATGTTTTGATGGAACGGTGAGATTAGAGAGTGAAATTATGGGGTATGAGGCATCAGATCTGTATTTAAAAGCGTATTTAAACATGTACAACATTTATTTGAAAAGAATATGAGCTGAATTTCTGGTCAGTTCTTCTTATCATGATATAACATATCATAAGAGTCCGTAATAGACTTACAGGAATAAAGATACTTCGAATTTGAATTCGAACTACTGGCGAAGATTACTAATCGGCATAGGATAATTTAATATGACAAGTGATATGTAAAATGATTAATGTATTGTAATGTTTTATAATTTCCGATGTAGCCCCGCAGCGGGTTCGCCCCGGCGGCGGCGGGCGGGGCGGCGCGCGCGGCGGGGCCCGGCCCGGGCGCGGGGCCGGCGGGGGCGGCGGGGGCGATGGGGGCGGCGGGGGCGGGGGCGGTGGGGGCGGCGGCGGGGGCGGCGGGGGGCGCGGCCCCGCCGCGGGGGGGCGCCCCGCCGTCGGCCGGCAAGCGCCCGGACGCGCGCAGCCCCATGCCGCCGCAGCACAAGCCCGCGCTCTACAACCCGTCAGTATCGCAACACGCCACCTTCACCTTTTTATCCCTTTTCTCTTACCGTCTGCTATCAGCCTTAAGCTATAATCAAATGTATTGCATTTTTTTTTTTTGTGATATGTCGTTTTTATTTGTGATGTGAATTCATTTTATTTTATATAAGTACTTATATTTTGGCCAGACGTTCCCTCTTCAAGCGGAATACGTAATCCCTGGTATCTAGGAGCTTTAGGACTAATTTGTTCGCATGGTATTCGAGTCCACGCCTGTAAATTTCACACAATCGACTGATTTCATCCTTAATAGTTGGTATCTCGCGATACTTGTGCACTTCATTACTCCTTGTAAACCATAGTGCATTTGTGATAATTTTTAAAGCATTATTTTGGAATCTCTGTAGAATTTCAATACTCAATTGGGAAGCAAAGCCCCATAATTCAACTCTGTAACTCCATACTAATTTGATGATGTATTTGTATATAATTATTTTGTTTTCAAAACTTAAACAGAATCTCTACCTATTAACCAGTTCATTTGAGACAACTTATTATTAATTTGGTCTCTTTGCCTTAATGTGATTCCTCCGAGTTAGCTTTACCTAACATCATTTTTTAGCCCACAATCTCAAATATAAATCATCACTCGTTAATATGTATATCTGTATCGATCACTCTGTCCAAATTCCCCTTCAAAAACATACTTTATATGACTACTGTGTCAAATTCCTACTATTTTTTAATATATATTTTCAATTAGTATAAATTAAACTCAATTCACAAGTAATAGAACTGCATACAACAGAGCTATAATCCCCATTCCAAATCTTATCTATCTCGCAGAATTTCTCTAGCAATTCTCTCTAGCTTGAACCGGATAGGTTCTCTTATTTTTTAATTTAAAAGAAAACATTGTATTAACAAGTTTTTTAGATGACAATTAATTAAACAATGTTATAAATACATTCATTTATTATTCCAAACTATATTACTATAGCTCATACCTTCAGATAAGTCATATGCTTTACTACTACCGTGTTACTATAAAAAATGATTGTATATTAAGTATAAGTTCATCTGATTCCATTTCTATTAATTTTTTTATACAATTATATTTTTATGTACTCATATCAATCCACTTTTAGTCTCAATTTTTTAATTATATTCTAGCTAATATATTTGTGTATTGTGTATCGGATGGTGCGTGCAGTGAGGCGTACGGTGCGGGCGGTGCGGGGGGCGGAGGCCCGGCCTCCAAGCGGAAGAAGCGTCTGGCCGACAAGATCCTGCCGCAGAAGGTGCGCGACCTGGTGCCCGAGTCGCAGGCCTACATGGACCTGCTGGCCTTCGAGCGCAAGCTGGACGCCACCATCATGCGCAAGCGACTCGACATACAGGAGGCGCTCAAGCGGCCCATGAAGCAGAAGCGGAAGCTGCGCATATTCATCAGCAACACCTTCTATCCAGGTAGCACCCCCCACACCCCCCACACCCTCACCCGGCCGTCCATGTAGCCCCGCTCTCTCTCTCTGATTGTTACTTGTTCAGAGTGTCCGTTCTTCTTGACTGAATCATTCCAAGTGTAGTGACAAAGGAAATACATGACTGCCACTACTCATTGTTATTTTCTATAAATATTTATGTATACATATAAATAAAATTAGAGTGTCTGTTTGTAATATTGAAATAATCGTTTTTTTGCTACAAGCATATGAATATAAATACGGTACATACACCAAAATAACATTTTTTACAATTTGTCTGTCTGTCCGTTTGTTCCGGCAAATCTCTGAAATGACTGGACCCATTTTGCCGGGACCTTTATTAGCAGGTAGCTAACGTAACAAGGAGTAACTTAGGCTACTTTTATTTTAGAAAAATAAAGTCAAATTCCACACAGACGAAGTCGCTTGTATCGTAAAAACGGTTATTTCAATATTACAAACAGACACTCCAATTTTATTTATATATAAAGATATCTTTCATACATGTTTTTTTTTTTTTTAGGACAAGGGGAGAATGCCGTAGCGTCATGGGAGTTGCGTGTTGAGGGTCGGCTGCTTGATGATTCTAAAAACGATCCTAATAAGGTATATGATTGTATACAAAAATTACATAGTATATAAGTTGGAAAATTTCGAAATAATAAAAATAATTCTTACTGTAATAAACTTAATATAAGCACTATTGTATGGTATATATTATATTTATTTTGATTTTACCGATGGAAAACAAACTCTTCATGAGAAGAAAGAACAAGAAAATTGTGTTTCTCTTTGAATAAATAGAAATAATTTAGATTGTTCTACTTTCAAAATATCTGATTTCTACGAAGATTATCACTCAAATAAATAAATATTAATGTACATTTTGTTTATGTATAAGAAAACTTAATTTTTAATGTAAATAATCTGTATATAGAGTTTATTTACCACAGCAATTACAAAATTTGCTAGTTATCATTTCATTTCACCTCAAGTGAGTTTGTATATTGTATAAAAAGATATGTAATTTTAATATTATTTAGATTGTCGTCGTCTAATGTTGCAGGTGAAGCGCAAATTTTCATCGTTCTTCAAGTCCCTGGTGATAGAGTTGGATAAAGAGTTGTACGGACCCGACAACCACCTGGTGGAGTGGCACCGCACGCTCACCACGCAGGAGACCGACGGCTTTCAGGTATAACTTTAGTATAGTAGTGACGCTGCGAGCCGCGAGCGCGTAGAGGAGGAGGAGAAGTAACCGTGCGGCGGTCGCAGGTGAAGCGGCCCGGGTACAAGAACGTGCGGTGCACGATCCTGCTGCTGCTGGACTACCAGCCGCTGCAGTTCAAGCTGGACCAGCGGCTGGCGCGGCTGCTGGGCGTGCACACGCAGACGCGGCCCGTGATCGTGAACGCGCTGTGGCAGTACGTGAAGACGCACCGCCTGCAGGACCCGCACGAGCGCGAGCACGTGGCCTGCGACAAGTACCTCGAGCAGATCTTCGGCGCGCCGCGCCTCAAGCTGGCCGAGGTGCCGGGCCGCCTGGCGCCGCTGCTGCACGCGCCCGACCCCATCGTCATCAACCACGTGATCGCCGTCGAGCCGCCCCACGACGCCAAGCAGACCGCCTGCTACGACATCGACGTCGAGGTCGACGACACGCTCAAGACGCAGATGAACAACTTCCTGCTCAGCACCGCCAACCAGCAGGAGATCCAGGGGCTCGACTCCAAGATACACGAGACGGTACGTGCACCTCGGGTGATCTAATTAGAATAGAATAGAATAGAAAATCATTTATTCAAATAAACTTACATTGAAGCTCTTTTGAATAGTCATTACATTTTTTTTAATCTACCGCTCGTTCGGAAAGCTGTCTCATCACAAGAAGAACGAGCAAGAAACTTGCGTGTTGCTCTTTTAAATAATTTTATTGTTACTTTACATTTTTAAGTTTAAGTGTGTGAATACAAACCACCAATTAGCACTAATTCAATTAAATACTCAAAAAGAAAAAATATTGAATACATAACCAATTAATAAGAGGAAATCAGTCATGGTGATTAGAGCAGACCAGTCCCTACAAGCGGCACCCGTTCACGAGTATGACGGATGAGCCAGCCATCACTGCACTCGACCATATTTTAGGGAGCCCAATGACCCGGCCCACCACGCCGCCACAAGTCTGGACATTTTAGTGAGCATGACTACTCAAAACACTAGACCACGTCAAAGCTACTCACAATTGCCATCTGATAGTTATAGTATTCACATTTTACATAAGAATGCATGCGGCAATTAATACAAAAACCGCTACTCTTTCATATTTCTAAAATCAATCAATTAAATCAAGAAAGCAATGAGAAAATAAAATTATAACGTTGTATGCTAATAAACTAATTATTTACTTGATATGTTGTCATCTATGAATTCGTCTATCCTGTAATAGGCTTTCTTACATAAAAATTGTTTAATATAAGATTTGAATTGCCTCTCTGTCAGATTTAAAGCAAATTCTGGCAGTTTATTATAAAATCTTATGCAATTACCATAGAATGAATTACTGATTTTGTGCAGACGGCATTAAGGTAAAATAAGCTTATTTATATTGCGTAAGTTTCTACTTGTACAGTCTTTGAGTTTTTTAAAACTCTCTAAGTTCTTCCGTGTATACATAATATTTTCATAAATGTATTGTGAAGTAACTGTTTATATTTGAAAAAAAAATTATTCACTATGTCTAGCATCAGCTCGCTTTGAAACTAGATGGAACTGTATTCCATCTATTGTGGAAAACTTTAAAAATACCCGCAAAGTATATTGTAGCATAGAGGTTTAAATACATGAAATTCAATGTTTCCGACGCCTTGGAAGGGTAATAATTCCATAGTATTTGACTCTAGAATTACATATATCATACATAAAAAAGATGTTTATCCAAAAAAACAAGATGGCTAAGCATGTTTTTTTTATACTCTTGTATATTTCATACTTCAGATTCAGTCGAAGATATTCCACAAAACTAATAAAAAGCAGTCGTATATTTTGTCTTACAATAAAACTTATTTAAAATTTAATACCTGTAATTACCATTGCGCTTATATTTGAACGAAAATCTAATTTGTTGTCTACTCCCATAACAAATCATACAACTTTGAGACTTCTTTTAGCCAAACACCATTAATATAGAAATCATATATTGCTTCCTTTATCCCGAAATTTGATTTGTGCACATTTGGATACATTTAGAACGTATTATTGCGAACACACAAATCAGAGATAGCCTTAATATCGTTTTGAAGTTATCGGATATCGTCCACCGATATGATGACTCTATAGATTTTAATAACGTCAGCTTAAAGTTTATATTATAACATAATGCATTCACGAAGTCATACAACATACTATACAATAAAAAGATCTAAGGTTCCAGATGGGAACCTTGCGGAACGCCTGTAAGGACCACTTTAGATTTGGACTTAAGTCCATAATGAGTTGAGAACTATTTCTTAGGTAGGATTCACAATATCTTAACGAATAGTCAGAGATATCGGCGTGTTCTAATTTATTAATAAGTATATTCTGCATGACGACATCAAAAGCTTTGCTAAAGTCATCACATTATCCTCATGACTCTTTTCAAGAGCTAGTAATAAAAATATCGTTTGTGTTTTTTAGTAAATTGCTTGTTATATATTTATTATAAACCTTATTGTGTTGATGTAGTCCTATGTTGTGTTTGAGATTAAAGATATTATTTTCTGGATGGGGGTTTTTCGATTTTACATTGAAGCAATTAATGGGTAAACTAAATTGGGGATTTTTTGTCTTGTCAACGACTTATTGTATTTAAAATTATGCCATAGAATATATCTACATTGACGATTGGTTCCATATGTGTTAATCAACATTTGCTTAATGTTTGCTCCTACCAATTCCAGGTGGACACAATAAACCAACTGAAGACCAACCGCGAATTTTTCTTAAGCTTCAGTAAGGACCCACAACAGTTCATTCAGAAGTGGCTTGTCAGCCAGTCGCGAGATCTCAAGGTACGTTTATATTTAATTTATCATTACAAACTACCACTCCACTACCATAGAAAATCGTTTAAACAAAACAACTTAATAGCGTCTCCTAAATTCGTATTGCCTCATCTATGCCCGCCATGAACATCTTAATAATCTATTAAAATAAAACGAACATTTAACTTGATAGTGTATAAGCTATAGGCTATAGGTTTTGATATATCTAAGGTTATTAAGATAGTATATAAACTAACACTTCACAAATTTTTGAGTGAGAGGAAATCACTGAATATTTTTACATATTCGTCCTATCAGCTGAAGTACAAGGTGTCCCATGTCCCATAAATCAAGTCCTTTGAACAGAACAAATAATAAGAATAAAACTATATCTTCTTTGCACTATCTTACTTTATAGGGAGTCGGCTCTCCTAATTTTGCGGCGTAGTACTGTCTGTCTTGGGTTGTTGGGTCGGGCAATTTTTACCTCGCAATGAGATTTTTCATGCTGGTCTACTAGGCAGCTGGAGGACGTCCTTTACCTCTCTCACGTTCCGTTACTTATAAAGCTTTCTTAACCAAAAAATAAAACTATATAATTTGTTTTTTTTTATTTCGTGGTAATCTACATAAAAGGGGAATTATTTTTTGAAAACTCACTCCATCCAAATGTGCTCCGTTTCGTTCTTGAATTGACCAAAATTTTCGATCCAAGTAAACTCTAATGCTTGATATTTTTCGTCGGATAAGTTAATCAATTGACCGCACGTTTGTTACGTAGACCTTAGCCTTAAAGTAACTCCATATAAAAGTCTATTGGACTGAAATCCAGATTTCGTGGTGACCAGGGGACGTCTTCTCTTCGAATCATTTGTTAGGGAATGGTTGACGGATGACGGACATACCGGTGTTAGAGGCATGGGCAGTTGCGCCATCCTGTTAAAACCAAGTGCGGGTATTGAAGTCTGCAAAATTCTGCAACTCTGGTGTAAAAAACTAGGGGCCTAATTATGCCATGCGCTAATATAGCCGTGACCCACATTGTGACTTTAGGGCTATGTAACGCCCTTTAATGGATACATTGTGGGATTCCGCTATTCCAGTAGCTACAATTTTGCTTTTTGTAACATTCGTTTAATTTCGTAAATAAGTAGTAAATTAATAGTAACGTCAGTATCTTTTAATTTCTCTACTAACTGAAATTTGTATAGGTGATGGGTGAAATCTTTCTTTAAAATCCCCTGTGACGTTGATTTGGGTATGTTTGCTCTGAAACGCTTACGAATAGACTGCGTAGGATTTTTAAAAACACACTCGTTCGTCGATGTTTTCTTCCATACGATTCGTAATATCCTTGGTTGGCCTGGTCCTTGTTTATTCAACATAGAACGATGGACAGAGGCAATTGAGAGTAAAGAGGAGGCCCTATCCTTTAGTCTGTATATTGCGAAAGCATTTGATCGGGTTTGGCATAATGCTCTTCTTTCAAAATTACCATCCTTTGGGTTGCCTGCGAAGTTACGCAGATGAGTCGCCAGCTTTCTCGCTGATCGGAGCATAAAGATCGTTGTCAATCGTACTTGCTCTGAACCATTTTCTGTGAATGCTGGTGTTCCACAAGGCTGTGTGCTATCTCCGACTCTGGTCCTTCTGCATATCAATGACATGTTGGCAATCAACAACATTAATTGCTATGAGGATGATAGTACCGGAGATACCTTGTATATTGGCCATGCTAATATATCGCATGCAAAAGTTATAGAGTACCGGAATAAACGTGTGTCTGAAATCAAGATTTCACTCCGTCAAGTTTTGTTTTGGGGTCAGCAAAATTGTGTCCAATTCAACCCTAAGATGACACAAGTATGCGCGTTTACCGCTAAAAAGACTCCATCTATCGTGTCTTCTCAGTTTTAAGATACTCTCCTTGATATTAAGCCAAATCTCGAGGTTCTTGGCGTTGATATATCCAATTTGAATCGGGAAGAAATTACAGTTTTTTTTTACGAAAGTGTTGATGTATTTGCGAAGGCTTCGGTCCTCAACTTGCTCTCGGAACCGAAGCTGATGACTAGGCATCATAAAACTCAACTATCTTAATCACCTTAGAATTTTTGGACCGGGAGGAAATCGGTAACGTCACGTAACTAGTCGCGGGTTCCCTCACTTGCTCGGACGACGTCGCGGGCGGCCGGTGGTTCTCGAATTTCCATTTGAGTAGTCACGGGTACGAATCGAATCCGCCGACGTCCGGGACGGGTGCCGGTGCGTGTATTGACGTGTGGTGCGTGTGTCGCAGACGATGGGGGGCGGCGCCACTGCCGCGGGAGCCCCCGAGGAGGAGCGTCGCGCCGCGCTGTACTCGCAGGGCTGGGCGGCCGAGGGCGTGTCGCGCTACCTGCACGCGCGCCTCGCCGCGCGCCGCCGCGACCTCGACCTCGCGCTCTCCGCGCACCACCTCGCGCGCCTCTAGAGCCCCACCCCGCCCCACCCGCCCCGCCCCGCCCCGCCCCGCCCCTCGCAGGGCTGGGCGGCCGAGGGCGTGTCGCGCTACCTGCACGCGCGCCTCGCCGCGCGCCGCCGCGACCTCGACCTCGCGCTCTCCGCGCACCACCTCGCGCGCCTCTAGAGCCCCACCCCGCCCCACCCGCCCCGCCCCGCCCCTCGCAGGGCTGGGCGGCCGAGGGCGTGTCGCGCTACCTGCACGCGCGCCTCGCCGCGCGCCGCCGCGACCTCGACCTCGCGCTCTCCGCGCACCACCTCGCGCGCCTCTAGAGCCCCACCCCGCCCCACCCGCCCCGCCCCGCCCCTCGCAGGGCTGGGCGGCCGAGGGCGTGTCGCGCTACCTGCACGCGCGCCTCGCCGCGCGCCGCCGCGACCTCGACCTCGCGCTCTCCGCGCACCACCTCGCGCGCCTCTAGAGCCCCACCCCGCCCCACCCGCCCCGCCCCGCCCCATCTCCCATCTACCTTCACAACCCTCTTTCCAATCCCCTCCCTCTTTTTTCCTGTCCCCTCCCGCCCATATTTGTATACTTACTAAAACTATTATTGTATTTTATATAATAAGATAATAAAATGATATTTGTAACTTTTGATTTTTTACTACATATTAACCCTTACCAAAAACGATTACCTCATACAGAAGTTGTTATTTCGTTTGTACTGTCTAAAAATTTAAATTGCAATCGACAATAATAACTCGTCGGGAAGCACCGTATGCACCCCGCACGCGGTGCTTCTCGCCGTCGGCGACTGCTTCCGGCCCCGGGGCCACCTGACCCCGCACGCGGTGCTCGGCGACTGCTTCCGGCCCCGGGGCCACCTGACCCCGCACGCGGTGCTCGGCGACTGCTTCCGGCCCCGGGACCACCTGACCCCGCACGCGGTGCTCGGCGACTGCTTCCGGCCCCGGGACCACCTGACCCCGCACGCGGTGCTCGGCGACTGCTTCCGGCCCCGGGGCCACCTGACCCCGCACGCGGTGCTCGGCGACTGCTTCCGGCCCCGGGACCACCTGACCCCGCACGCGGTGCTCGGCGACTGCTTCCGGCCCCGGGGCCACCTGACCCCGCACGCGGTGCTCGGCGACTGCTTCCGGCCCCGGGACCACCTGACCCCGCACGCGGTGCTCGGCGACTGCTTCCGGCCCCGGGGCCACCTGACCCCGCACGCGGTGCTCGGCGACTGCTTCCGGCCCCGGGACCACCTGACCCCGCACGCGGTGCTCGGCGACTGCTTCCGGCCCCGGGGCCACCTGACCCCGCACGCGGTGCTCGGCGACTGCTTCCGGCCCCGGGACCACCTGACCCCGCACGCGGTGCTCGGCGACTGCTTCCGGCCCCGGGGCCACCTGACCCCGCACGCGGTGCTCGGCGACTGCTTCCGGCCCCGGGGCCACCTGACCCCGCACGCGGTGCTCGGCGACTGCTTCCGGCCCCGGGGCCACCTGACCCCGCACGCGGTGCTCGGCGACTGCTTCCGGCCCCGGGGCCACCTGACCCCGCACGCGGTGCTCGGCGACTGCTTCCGGCCCCGGGGCCACCTGACCCCGCACGCGGTGCTCGGCGACTGCTTCCGGCCCCGGGGCCACCTGACCCCGCACGCGGTGCTCGGCGACTGCTTCCGGCCCCGGGGCCACCTGACCCCGCACGCGGTGCTCGGCGACTGCTTCCGGCCCCGGGGCCACCTGACCCCGCACGCGGTGCTCGGCGACTGCTTCCGGCCCCGGGGCCACCTGACCCCGCACGCGGTGCTCGGCGACTGCTTCCGGCCCCGGGGCCACCTGACCCCGCACGCGGTGCTCGGCGACTGCTTCCGGCCCCGGGGCCACCTGACCCCGCACGCGGTGCTCGGCGACTGCTTCCGGCCCCGGGGCCACCTGACCCCGGCCGTCATAAACGAGCCGTCTACCTACGCTGCCGCGGCATAGACACTGTTCAAGTGCTACGTAAGCACTACTGGGATCTTTACTTCGCTTATTTTGAATGACACGGGGGGGGTAGGGGAGTCTAAATGACGATTACGTCATCGATAGTTATTTACTCGTTTACACGAAAGGCAACCCTCACATTGTCTGGGCTAAAATAATAATACATTAATTGAAAAATGTTTACGTAAGCATGGGAAGGGGCTAAAAGCTCTACTTTTGCTGACAAGGAGAATGGGGGAGGGGAGGGGGTATATTGTAATAATCTGCTTACGTAATACTTGAACGGCCTCATTTTGCCATAGTGGGGATGGTAACCACAAAGGTAATGTTATTATTTTTCTATTTGTATATGTTAGTCCTTAAAGTATAATACCACAGATAATATAATATATAATACATTTGTTGTACATATTTTGTATATTTGCTAGTCTGTAACGATTATCTATATATCTACACATATAAGTAAAATTGGACTACCTGTTTGTGATATTGAAATAGCCGATTTATTACATGCATATGAATATAAATACGGTACATACACCAAAATAAAACTTTTTACCTGCCAAAAAAAGTCCCGTCAAAATGGGTTCAGACAGTTCAGAGATAGCCGGAACCAACAGACAGACAGACAAAATATTTAAAAAAAAATTATTTAGGTGTATGTACGGTATTTATATTTATATGCATGTAGTAAAAAACAGTTATTTCAATATTACAAACAGACACTTCAATTTTATTTATATGTATGGATGATGTATTAGTACTGGTAGACCTACGCACGCGACTGCTACATAAAGGTAAGTATTATGTGGTGTTATTAAAAATTTCATATAAAATAACTCGCTCGTGGCGCCTCTCGTACGTTGTCAATCCTGCAGACAAATGTTATGACTCCTTGCCCTGTAATTTAACTGCCATATCTCATCCGATCATCCTTCAAAGGGGAACACAGAGAACACACACAAGTTTTTTAAGAAGGGTATGTTAAGGTTTCTTAAGTGTCAGCATAGCGGATGAAAACAAAAAAACGCGTGGTTCAGGCGTCCATAGGCTACGGTAACCATTTACCACGAGATGGGCCATATGCCTGTATGCCACCATAGTTGTATAAAAAAAAAACAGATTACCGCTGTCCGGCCGTCCTAAATTAAAAGTAATCCTAACCTAATCCTACGCGACCTCGTTATAACATGCAGTATATACAGTCTTTGATATAATCTATATTTAAGATATAGTCATATAGTGTAAATATAGTCTATTAGGCGGGGGTGGGGATTGTTAGTAATGTGGACTCATGACTGTTAGAATTCACATCATTATTGTAGAGAAAATCCGATATTTTAAAAATATAGTAAAAAAGGTAGTTTGTTTTTAGTACTAATGAAGTACCCAATGTAATGATTATTGCGAATATTGTAAATAGCGCCATCTAGTATTTATAGACCAACCTACTACACTGACTTTGGTCTATAAATACGGAGGTCGGTAGTTGAATAATCCTCTTTCGTTGCGTGAGCCGCGGCATTCAGTCGACGAGCGCAGAGCGTGCCAGTTTTGTTTTGGATATTAAAGTGAATTATATTGGCAATGGGTTTATCCCGGTCTTAGTTGGGCCTGGGGGGAAGCTGCAAATAGTGAAGGTGAGTGTTAATGCATTCTAAAAGGGCCTTTTAAACCTACACCCGTGTCACAAGTCACGGGCGCTACTTGGGGTTTCCCTTGCGGTAGCCGGCTTCAAAGCCTCAGTCGTCCGTCATAATTAGTGCTCCTTACATGACCCATTACTAGCAATGTACCATATTAGGTGGACCTCGCGGTTCCCCCTGGAAACCATCGTGACAAATTCTTGGTGAATTTGTCAAGATAGGCTAACCTGATCTCATGTTCATCTTATCATTCTCCACTGGTGCCCGCATAAACCGCCAGCATAAACCGATAGCGCAGACGGGTGCACCATTCCATTATCATCTATAAAAAAATATATAGTCTATGAAGTTTGTAACGTAAGTACTCTGTGCAGCTGATAGAGTCTGTATTGTAAAATGGCGGGAACGGCCATATTAAATTTGAAACGCAAATTAGCTTTTTAATATATACATATCAATTGCAGGCATAGGCTCTTTTTGTTATTGTATTTTTTTTTCTTTCTTTTTGTTTGTAAGTTAAGTTTATTTGTTTTGGTAAATTTAAATATATTGTAAATTTTATTAGACAAATGGGAAGTGGGTAACGTCATAGCATTTATTTTTTGGAATTATGTAAACTCGGTGGAGGGCGTCGATGTTCGAAACCCAGTTTTCTATTTCCGTGAATGTTGTCGTTTCTTCAGTGAATTGGTACATCTGTTTTCTTAAAATAAATAAATAAATAAAAAAATTTACATACAGTACAAACATTATAAAATCAGTTAACCTGTACCTACACAGACTTTAAGAATAATCTGTGAACAATTCACTATTATCGCGTGGCAACACTGTTGCCTAGTTACGACAGAACAATAATATATCGGGCCTGTCGATTCGAGATTGAATCACTTTCTTGTACATACATAGACCATTGAAAATACTTCTACATCTATACATATAAATAAAATTGGTGTGTTTGTAATATTGAAATAATCGGTCTTTACTACATGCATATGAATGTAAATACGGCACATACACCAAAATAGTTTTTTTACAATTTTTGTCCGTCTGTCTGTCGGACCGATTTTTACGAGACTTTTTTTGGCAGGTAGCTGATGTCATAAGGAGTCATTTAGGCTACTTTTATTTTAGAAAAATAAAATTATTTTCCACGCGGGCAAAGTCGCGGTAACAGCTAGTTATAAATATGTACATAGCCACAATCTGGACTCATCACTTCATCTCCTCCTTGCCTGCCGCTACAAAGAACATAATAAATATAAATAATAGTAACTCCGACATAGTCGCTAAAAATCTGTCAGTAGGTAAGTGAAATGAAATGAAATGATATTTATTCAGTAGATGTTAAAAAAACTAAACACACATTAAACAAACAAAAAAAACTCAATCATTGCAACAAATTCCAAAAAATAAGTACCTACCTACATTTGTTATAAAATTACAAATTACTTGTGTGCACGTGTGCGTGCATGCGTATGTTTGTCGAAGCATCTACCGAATAAGTCCGTGCTCAGCATGATGCTGCAGCGGCTGGAGCGCTGCAACGCTGTTTTTCAGCACAAGACCTGGGGCGGTGTATTGCTGTGTAAGTGTTAAGTTTGTCATCGAAGTAGTTAATCCTTTTATGATGAGTATTAGCTACCTATTAAGCAACGTTCGATAAAATTTATATTCGTCCGTTTATGTTAGATAAACGCTCATTATCACGACTTAGCACGGGTTCTCGTGTGGGATTAACTTCATTTAATATTATTTTTGGCTATCATTGTTTATAATGGCACGTACCTGGTGTTGATAATAAATTTTACGATATTCGTAACATTACACCGATGTTCCGTAATAATACATAATACGTTATTAGTAACATTATTTGGTAGTTAA